GTTTATTAAGATAATATAATCACGAAATGCTCCTTAATTTTGAATCTCCTGCCCTCCTGTATTAAACTCGTATGTGAGTATGAGTATGTATGTGAAACAAATGGTTTTTCCCTCCTATTTTAACATAGACAATTTACAATTCTTATAATGTCAATATATTTAGGTACAGATAACTTGCGCAACGCACTACTTAATATTAAGTCTCTTAACACAGTTATTGGCTCTGTAAGAGAATAAAAAGACTAAAAATAAATAAACAAACAGAAAATAAAACAGTAAAAATGAGTAATTACTGTTTTTTTTACGACAGATTCAAAAAAACTCAGCAAAGAAATGAATTACTTAAGCCAGAGAAAGTACAGATAAAACAAGTTTTTTGTTATTTTTTCTTATTTAGTAAAAGAGTAAACCTAAGATTTATTAATGGTGTTTATTCATAAAACTTAGGTTTATTATTTTACAACCATTTTATTACTCAGTTTTAGCATTTGGAAATTTGTGCCGCATATATAAGACAAATAATGTTGTAAGTTGGCCAACAAGTTTTAAGATTTTGCATGTTTTTTTTGTAACTATTTTGAGTTTATTAATTCGTAATTTGAATTTGTTTAAAATTTACTAACTGTCTCCTCACTAGTTCTCGTAAATTATAAAATTTAAATTGCAAAATGTTAATTTTATTTCTTTTCTAGGAGATTAACTTTCCTTTAAACAATTTATTGCCTGATAGGTTGAGGTAACAATAACATTTTAATTTGGTTTTGTAAATAGATATTAATACCTTCAACATATTATCCATATATCTACAGTGTGCCAGAGACAAAGTACTTTTAATGGACAAAAAAGCGAGCGATGACGCGAACATGAACTAGCTTATTACACACTGTATTTCGGCGCGCTTTTTTGACTTAGCAATAAATAACAGAAAGTCATAAGTTATTCTATATTTTTTAGGTCATAATACATATTATTCTTATGTATCTGTGAACTAAAAATCACGTCCGTCAATCAGTCCGTGTGGTGGCGGATTAAGAATACAGAGTGTCACCACCTCTATTCATCCCGTGGTTGTCGTAAGAGCCGACTAAGGAAGTAAACTACGCAGGACAACAGCACTGCAGAGAGAAGGAAAACTTGAAACAAACCCTAAACCAACCCGTCTGGCCAGCGTGGTATAGTAGGCCAAAACCTCCTTTCTAAGGAGAGGCCTATGTCTAGCAGTGGACAAGTAAATACTGTTGATGTGATGGGATGATGTGAAGTAAAAATCAATCTTATTCCTCTATAACAATTTCCTCTATTTCATCTTAAACTGTATTACAAAAATAGAATACCTAATAATTATATTTTAAAAATAATAGTGTCCAAGCCTATGAATACAAGGATTCTAATAAAAACAAGGAGGTTTGATATACAAGATTTTACAATAATTTGCCTTTGATTAAAAAAAAATACTTACATTAGTGCGTCGCAAGAGCTGCGTTCGTTTTGACGTAAATAAACCATACCTTTCTTACTTTCTATCTCTTTCTTCAAAACGCACTTATTTATATTATTTTTAACAGATATATAAAAATTACAGTTGTTCAATAAATTCGTGATACACTTTTTTTAAATACCGGAAGTGATTAATTGAAACTAATAGCTATAAAGTCATGCATACGAGTATAATCTAATTCATCAAAATATAAAAAATAAACGATACTTCATTTTGAATTCAATTATTTAAAATTATGACTTTCTCCCATTAAGTTTATAGAAATGATCTGTGGTAAACATTTTTATGTTACCTACCAATTTGTCTATGTAAATTCAATTACTGTAATTGTTACTGTAATTTCTTTAACCATAACAAATAATTTATCTTATAAACCAAGTTTTCACACAACCACTTATGTATTCTTGTGTTCTATTCACTTTCTCGCTTTGGAGACAATAGACAATAGGCAATAGACAACAGCCTAGCACTTCCTTCTATCCTGACATCCCTCACAAACTTCCTATACTGTCATTAAACCTATCACACAAATACTAGGATCTCTTCAGGGTGGATCATCCATTAAAAGCAGTGGTGGGACTAGCCATACAAGGAATATAGGATCTTACTTATTACGATAAACTGACCTTGAAGTTCTCTATTGCCACTGAAGACCAGGCAGCCATTGACGGGCCTGTGGGTTTGGTGGTTAGTGAACCTGAGTGCTAAGCCAGAGGTCGTGGGTTCGGTTCGCACCCAGGACAAATAATTGTATCATGAGCACCGTCATTTTTCTGGTTCTGTGTCTGGGTGTAATTTACCTTTAATATGACGTATGTATGTATATCAGCAGGCTGGTTACCATAGCACAGGCTCTGCCTAGTTTGGGATCAGACGGCCGTGTGTGAGATGTGTGAAGTTATTATTGTGGTTGATGGCGTACTGAAGGTCGACTTTCTGATAAATATAGACTCAGATATAAATAGTTGCCAGACCCTTAGAAGCGGAGCAGTGATCATAAGTCTGGCTAAATTTATTTTAAACATGATTGGCCGCCATTTTTTTTTCCACACAGCTGATATGATACGATACCATAAGACAATGTCAATGTGATATGTTGAATTTCTTGACTAGGGTCATGTTTAGGAGGAAGCTTTCAATACTGCACGGATATCGTAGTGGTTTAAGCGGTCGCCTCGCCGCTTACTACTACGCCGAGTGTTGTAGGTCCGATCCCCACATAGGATGACACTTCGTGTGATCCACAAATTGTTGTTCTGAGTATGGGTGTTCTTTGTGTCTGTTTCATGTATGTTTGTAAGGTCCCTCGCGACACAGGATAATGTTCCTAATGCGGGAGTTATCGGTAAAAAAAATACAGCTATTTCTTTAATGTTTGTTACCTTAGAACACCGTCACAAGGAACTGACTGTGAATATCCATTTTTGCTTTTAAAAAAGTATACCGTTTGGTCTCATTCACCCGTAGGGGTGAAAATTAAGGAATGAAGAATACAGTTTACTTAATCAATACATACAAACATACAGTTAAATTCATGACGCATTTAAATCTATAGTAATATTTAAAATGCGAAAGTGTGGCTGTCTGTTACCTCTTAATGCTTAAACCGCTGAACCGATTCAAGGAAAGGACATAGGATAAAGAACATAGGTTTTTATCCCAGAAATCATCCTTTAAAAGGATAAAAGGGGAAGTTGGAAGTTTGTATGGAGAATTAATAACCGCTGAACCGATTTAGCTGAAGTTTAGAACGGAGATAGTTTGATACTTGACTAAGGAGTACTAAGGGCAAAGGCTTCTTTTAACCTCCTTTTTAGGCAAAAGCTATCTGGTTATATGTAGGTATATTATTGTTAAACTTAATGTTTTGATTCTTTTTTTAATGTTCTTGTAAATATGTGTTTCTTATTTAAATTGTGTATCGTGTCAACTCCACAAAGATATTACCGCTACTACAGTAGTTTTTTGTTTACTGTCATGTCACTAATGCAAATGTCTCACTAAAATGAAAAAAAAAGCCGTTAAGTTCAATGCAGTTGCAGTACAATGCCAAAATGACGTTTAAAAAAGGTTTTACTTGTGTCATCTTTTTGTTGATCTAGTTTACTGCACGGGTGGCGTAGTGGTTTAAGCGGTCGCCACGCCGCTTACCACAACGCTGTGTTGTGGGATCCGATCCCCACATGGGACGACAATTTGTGTGATCCACAAATTGTTGTTCTGAGTCTGGATGTTCTTGGTGTCCGTTGCATGTATATTTGTAAAGTCCTCGCGACATAGGATTAATTCATAATGCGGGAGTTCTCTTTAAAAAAAAACCAGTACAAGTTTTAGGAGTTTCAAGGCAAGTTCCCGTGGGTGTCGTAAGGATGTCGGAGCCGACTAAAGGAGCATACTACGCAGGACAACAGCACTGCAAAGAGAAGGAAAAGTTGAAACATACTCTATACTAAACCGTCTGGTTAGCGTGGTATAGTAAGCCAAAACCTCCTTTCTAAGTTGAGGCTCACGTTAAGCAGTAGATTTTCAAAAAAAAGTTTTTGTTGTTGATCTAGTTTAAACAAGTTAAGTTTTAGGAGTTTGAAGGCAAAATAACTTAAAAATAGTGACCGCCCAGGTACGATCTTCAGAACCCCATTAATAAAAAACAATAATAATATAATATTTAGATTAGTAAATCGAATATTGTCGTGACATTGAGAGCTGATCAATGAACTAAAGGTGACGTCATCATGTCATACATAATATTTTTATCATTCACCACGTGGCTTGAGCGTGGTACTTAAGTTGTGGGCATTTTTATGTTCATCTGTTTTGGTACGTAATCTATGGCAATTGCGGCGAGGCGCAGGTAGCGCGGGATGGACGGTTTGAAAGTCGAATATTGGGGAGGTGAGTGCGAAAAAAAATAAACTCCCCATAAATCATTGTCTATTCACGAACAAGATCAGATAGGATTTTCGGACTTGTTGTTTGAATAAATTTTGGTTACAAATTAGTACGTATCATGTTTATAATACTGATTTTGTATAATTTATACACGGAATTACATAAATTATAAAGTGTGAGGTTCTTGTCTATTTTCACATTCAGAACTGGTAATAAAAAACAAAAGTTATGTTAAAGAATCTCAAATATATGCTAACGTATTATATTTTTATATAATTATAAAAATTAAAATTAATATTAATTTTTATTGTTTACTTTCCAGCAAAATGATTAAAAAGTCTATTAATACTATACACAATACAGGCCTGAATATACATTTATAAAGTTAAAAGTAATTTTTTTGAAAACAACATGCTGAATGCTGTAAACAGACACGACAGAATAGTAAACTCACAATTTGACCAATGAACTTTGATTTGAACCACGCGAAAAGCTTGGTTATGCGTCATTGCGTCCGCCGACACGTTGCAAGAGCAGAATGTGTCAAGGATCACAACTTTCAAATAGTAAGAATTGGCAAACACAATTTCCCCGTAGCCTGTGACAAATTTTCATGCTGACAACACAGTCGGGAAGTTCAGGAACCACTTCCCAGAACGATAAAGGGCCGGCGGGGTGCAGCGGTGCTCGGGGGGGAAGACGGCGCGACAGCTGCGCGCGCGTCGCTCACCCCGCACCACAAGCCATTCCGTCGCAGAACGCCGCGAGATGCACACGTTCGCATCAGTTTCCTCGTGAAATACGCGCGTAACATTCCGTTTGACTCGAGTGCGTGACTTTCAAACTTTAAAGTTAAAAATGATGAAGTATTCATTCACGTATCTGGAGGAGCGTGTCCGTACAGAAGCGACGAACCATCGAAGGACGCGAGTCGGGCGCGGCGCAGGAGCGGCCGTCGGCATCCTTTGTCCGGGAGGCCCGTGTGGCTGGGCGGTGACTGGGGCTATATTCGGTTAAGTGCGATATTGCACCAGTCCCGGCCTATCCAAGCGGGCCCGGCCATCGAAGACCGCTATACAGGCACTCAGCATCCGCGGCGCGCAGTCCCGTTACCCGGCCGGTCGGTCGTTCACTGCGGTGGCCACGCTTAGGACGCGATTTGGTGTAACACTTGTGACTTTATATTATCAAATTGCACCAATCCCGGCCTGCCTGTGGTCACCGGTACGGTATACGAGGCCTCACCATGGATCGTTTCACACGTGGTGTATATAGAGCAGGTATTATTCGGAGTACCCTCGCATGGGAAAATATCTAATGTCTTGTGTAATTTATTGTCACTAGGTCAGCTCTAAAGCTCGGCCGTTTACCTTTTAATATTTCATGTAAGTATCTTGTGCCTTTTTACTAGTAGAAATTTTAACTTTGTAACACTTCATTGTATTACAAGTGAAAACATATCTTTCTACATATTTTTGATTGTAGAAAGTTTCCGAGGTAAGTGATTCATATTGTAAGAAAGTTATTCATTTCGAGGTGACTGAATCGATATAGTAGACACCGGTCGATGCAGGCAGCAGACCGGTTTTGCCGTAAATCGTAATATGCTATGTTGTAAAGTATGCTTGTGTTATAGAGACCGCCAAAATGAAGGGCATTTTACAGAGATTGCTTTAAAACTACACCGACAACCGATTTAGGAACAGCTGATTTCTTCATTCAGATTTTATTCATGTTATTTGCATAGTCATTGTACCGTTTCATTGATTAAAGTCGAAGGTTTTACAATTAACCTACTTCCTAAGCTTTTTTTTAAGGGTAGTTAGGTCACCTATGCGATTCTTTAACATTTGTATTTGGGATACCTTTTAGAATAAGGTAGATACAAAATATGGCAGCCTAACGCTTTTTTTTTAAGTTTACCGACAGTTTTCTGAGGTAAAATGTTAAAATTGCACAGGAAAAGTTCGAACCATCGCTCAAATTAACCTAAGTTATGTGGCTGTTAAATCGTGTGGAACCTACGGTAAATTATGGCCTTCGCATAAACAGTTATTTCTAATGACGGTAGGTGTCTACACGATTTCGGTACAAGTTAAGAAAAGTAGGTTTTATAAAGTGGTGCAGATGCCAAATCATGTACATTATAAAGTTTAATTCGGTATTTTTAAGGTTTTTAAAGACTCTAAACTGGTTCAATACCATTTGCTATGCAGTAATTTCCTGTTACAAAAAGTGTTAGTTTTATGTATATGCCCATTAACCATCATTCTTGAACCAAGTTTAATTTAATTAACATTTTTCCGAACGTGTTTAACAACTCAACAGATTTTACACCGGGCGACATTTTTATGCAAACTAAGAGTTAGCTTATCGCTGCTTAGATATTCTTAACTTAGAAGTTATGTTTGCATTATCGTATGAACTCGACGTGAATCAAGCGGAAAGATGATTCACTCAGCAAGTTGAGAAGTCTTGCAACCGTTATGATTTAAATTGCAACAGCTGTCATGGGGCATTCACGAATTGCGGTACTTCATACCTTGGTTGTATTAACAAAAAACTTATCGCATACACGGGTTTACTTTGCCTGGTGTGGCGATGCAATCGTTTTAAATTTGCCATCGAATAACTTTGACATTTACCTTCGTTTTCAAATTTCGAACACGGATTCGGAAATATGGCCGATGAGAATCTTTTCTTGAAGTTTCTTAGTTTTAAAAGGTCCCTTTAAATATTTTTTTTGTTTTAATAATTATTTAGATCGCAATGTGATATTAAAAACGTCATTTTATTGAAGTCATTTAAATGAAATCTGTTACGTACTAATACCTAATCTGCCCCCGTTGTCATACATACAGTAAGTCGTGTTAACATACTTTTTGAAGTCTTCTAATTCTCTTTAAGCCAGCATAATTGTATTAGCTATGCCTACCTCTGACACCGAGATATATTGTCCAAACTTGGCAGTGGGTCAGATAAAAAAATAACTGAAATTAATAACGGTATATTCACATATCGATACTGCATTGCTAATTGTATTTGATTTTTAACAACATTCGCCTTAATTAGAAGCAGCTTAATTATTTTTTATTAAATTTATTATTAAAAGCATAAAACCACAATAAAAATAATTTATTAAGGAGGAAGATTGCCTCAGGGTGAAAAGAGTTCTATAATTTTGTTGGGAACTCCAATTCAATAATAAAACAACCAGAACATCAATTAATTGGGAATTTATCTGCTTATCTGATTTTTAGGATTTATTAAATATTTAACTTTACACACGTAATTCCATATAGAATTGCTTAAGTTCTAAGTTTCGAATCATTGTCATTGTCTAAAAAATTTTCGCCCACAGTTCTTAAACTTTTTTTACAGCTGTCAACTGGTTGCTTTTTAATGACAACCCTCAATGTGACAATATGTACATCTGCCCCTTTATACAACCAGTTTAAAAAATATGCGGTACATTTTATACGAGTAACTTGCTTAAGTGCTATCGAAAGATTTCAACGATTTACGTTGGTTTTGTGTTATTAACGTTCGAGGCCTCAAAACACAACTACAAAATATTATACCCTACCTTACCTACCACTTTTTTAAAACTAGATCGAATATATAAGTGACCTTTGTCTTTAAGTTTATTTTTTTATTGGTGTGCTGTTATCGATGCAAAAAGTATATTCTGTATTTAAAAAAAGGAATGTCATTTATTTTTGTCCAAGACCTCAATAGTTTATTATAAACAAGCTAGTGTAATAAAATATATCAATTTTTAGTAATAAACATCCCAAAGCTAATAAATTGAAAAGAATATCGATAGAAATAAATTCCACTAAAATTTATTAACCTAGACCATCACTTTCTTTTAAACCTGTTAGCTCAACTACCGATTAAAATATTTAGGTTTTATCAATCTAGAATCAATTAATTCAAGACATTGAAATATATTAAGACACCTAGTATTTTTTTATCTCATTTAGTCAAATAAATGTCAACGATATCGTTAAATGTCTATATTTGTTATAATTCTTTACTTAAAATGATTCCTTTTTAAATTTTAAATTTATTTCCGGTTGCAGCGTTCGATTTTTAAGTAATTTTTTTTTTACGACCAGCTACAGATTAGATATCTGCACGTCAACACTACTTTTTGCCGTTATTGTAATTATATATTTTCGGTATCATTATTGTATAAGTATTAACAGAAAAATAATTAGAAAAATAGATTAATAGTAATAAATAATTAGTATCATTTAATATCTAAATAAATGATACATTATAAATTTGACATAGTTTATGATAGTATATCGAAAAAAGTATAATAAACTGGCCATTAAAAAAAAACACTGGTACTAGTAGTACATGATTACCCTCTCAGTTTAATGCGATTTTGGTGGTTTATTAGCGTTTATTAATATTCCTACAACAAATACTGCAGTTAACGGCGTTCTATTTAATTATTATTTTTCATCGGGTTATGGTTGGTTATTTAATTTAATTTTCTTCTCGCTCCCCCGGCAATTGGCAAGAAGAGAAACACCGGGGTGGTCGTTGAGTCGCCTTGAGTCCAATGCCTTCGCCACCCCAATGGGTGATGGACATCCAAGAGGATCTTCCACCCCGTTAACAATAAACAGTTAATTTTCATACATTTTAAACAAGTGCTCTAAACATACAGATTACAATATAAATCGTAAATGCTCAAATTCACTGGATATCTTATGCTACTGGGACAATAGAGTAAAACACTACATAAAAAAAGATCTGACGAATTGAGAACCTCATCCTAACTTTAAAGAAGGTATTTTTAAGAAATAAGGAAGATCATGAAGCATTCCAATTTTATTATAAAATTATACACAGAAGAAAAAAACTACTACTAAACTATTCCAGGATTATAAAGTCACTTATCCAGAACGTAATATGTCCTTAAAGATTCATTTCCTTTAGTCCTATCTCGATTTTTACCTTAAAACTTGAGTTTTGGTGTGCGACGAACGAGGGGAAAGATTTGAAAGACACTGGACATGACAAAATGGGCAAAAGATGTCAAGGAAAATGGTCACCGAGAATGCTTGCAGATTGTTGTTGGACACTAAAACGAGATCATTCATCGGATTGTCAAAACGAACAAAAAATATTTAGAATATTTTTTTTAAAACATGATTCCTTTCAAAAATATTTCACATCACACATCACATCAACAGCCTTATACTAGTCCACTGCAAAATATTTGAATTTCCTTTTTTTTAATAAACACATTTTCCAACGGAAATGAGTGTTTTAATTTTTTTCACACTCACATTTTACCTAATCTCTGGTCAAGGTATAAAAAAACAGTTTAACAGATACAGTTACTAACAACGGAAAAAAAAAAGTTTTTTTTATTTACTAATTTATATTAAAAAGTCGACAGTTACGGCCTATTTTTGGTACGACTAACTGTTGGTGTTTATTTAGTGACATTTAAAATGAAAAAGAATCAATAGATCAATAGCCATTTTTGTATGCGTTGCTAAAGAATTAAATACCTCATACTGCTTGGTACGACCTTAGGTTATTGACATCCTTTCTAATTAGGTTAGGAAGGTTTATTGCAGGCGCTCTTCGTGTAATTATCGGAATGTGTTAGATAAGGGACCCCAGTTACTTAACTAAATATTTAAATTTACAACATCTATAATATAGGAGGGGGCCATTATCCAGCAGTGGACTGTTATAGGCTGTTAATGATAATGATTTATAAAGAAATGTTAAGTTGGTTCCTGTACACTTCAAAAATTCAGTTCTGCACCGATTGAGTTCAAATTTTAACACTTATACAACCTGATTCAAAGATTGTTTTTTACTATTTTTCTTTCTACTGATTAACACATAAATTAGTTACAAATATATAGAGGTAACAATCGGCGGTCTTATCGCTCACGGCGATCTCTTACAGACAACCTTAATACGGATATTACATATTTAAAAAATTGGGTAGTTTACATTATCAACCAAAGTATTCATACCCAAATATACATCTGTTCACATTACACATACATACTTACATATATAAATATTATATATATACATATATATATACACACAGTCCAAAATATTTATATATATATATATATATATATATATATATAAGAAATTTCCA